ACAACGCCAACTCTAGCAATTGAGGTTCTGCTTGGCCTATCTCCTCTGCATTTGCATATAGAGAAAGTGGCTAGAATAACCATTTACAGATTTAAACAATATGCTCAAAACTGTTCCGATATGTCATACCAATGGGCTGCGGAAGACATTATAAGCACTGATACTGTGCTATCAATGCCGTCAGATTTGGCGGGATCACTATCAGTGATAAATGTTCGATACCAAATTGCACTGCCTGAGCGGCAGTTCTGGATCGAAAATGAAAATTCTCTGGTTTAGGCAGATATTTGCATGTTCACAGATGGATCAAAAACGCCGGAAGGGGTCGGAGCCTGGGTACGTACTGTAGTGTATTCCAGGCGTACATATTTGCTATTGTTATGGGTGCTAAAATCGTGCTTGAGAGAAGGGTGAAGAACATGACAGTACGAATTTCCTCAGACAGTCAAGCCGCTATCCAGGCGCTGCAAGCCCTGAAACCGGTGTCGGCTCTGGCTAATGATTGTAAGTCACTGAGTTGTGATAACAGAGTTTCTCTGATCTGGGTCCCCGGTCACTCTGGGGTTGCTGGCAATGAAGCGGCAGATGAGCTAGCACGCGAGGGCAGCGCTAAAGCGTTTGTGGGACCGGAAGCAGCAGTTGGTGTATCATTTGCGATGGGCAAATATAGGATTGGACTGTGGGCTGAAGAGAGACTTCTCCTACTGTGGACCAGTTCTCCTGGAATGAGACATGCTAAGGTGTTTATTAACATCGCCACTGTCAAACCCGGGAACATTTCAGGACTTGCTCGAAGAAGCATAAAGTTCTAATGGGTGTCTTTACTGGGCACTGCCGATTAAAAGCACACTTCAACTTGTTGGGTTTAGCCGATGATGTTGAATGCCGACTATGTGCGGAGGAAGCAGATTTTTGGGTAGCAGTTTATCTCGTCGAAGGATCTGAATGACCTTTCACCGAGCAAGATATTAATGTTCGTTAAGAGCATTGGACTGCACGGTGAAATTTGATAACGATATCTATCTGGGTACAATAGATCCTTAGAGTCGCGGTGCAATGTTGGTTGGTGCACCTACCCGATATATAGTCTATGTAATGTAATGTAATGTAGTTGCAGATTATATCTTTTCGGAGACTCGTATTGTTCCTGATTATCTTCCATGATTTATGTATGATATAGTATATTATAGTATAATATCAAATATGATTACTATGACAATGAATTTAGAAGACTGCAAAAGTTTGTCAGGTTAAGGTTGCTCACCAGAGGCATGTTGAAAGGACAGTTACGCATTATTCTTTAAATTTTAAATATCAGGAAAACTACTAAAATTAGATATATGACATTAATTAAAGGTAACTTGATGGGCAATTCAACCAGCACACAATATACAGGTTGTTCCATTTAAAAAACTTATGAAAAAGGCATTTGAAAAACATTAAAAGTAACCAAGCTTTATGAACACGCTGTATAGCCTATCTAATATCTTTGGATACTATCATTTCATTTCATACCTATTGGCTTTGACTATTATCTGACATAGTTTCAAGGCAAGATTGGAAAAAATGTCGTTTTTACATTGTTTTTAAAAAGATGCTGCAATGGACACATTTTGGAAAAACAATTGAATATCTTACGAACTATGAACGCTATGAGTTAGTAACATATACGGCTATATAAACAAATTTAATACTATTCATAATATGATAAAATATACAGGTGTTCCATTTAAAAAAATCTACATACTCTCCGTTACGTCTAAATGAAACACTCTGTATAAGTGAAAATAATTTTACGTAATAGAAAGTGGTGAGTCAAACAACTTTTGTAGAAAACATTTTTTTCTTTCTCAAACGGTTTAGCAACTATCGTCCGCCGGGATACTAAAAACTCACCCTGTATATATTATAAAATAATATACAGGGTGATTCTCAACCTATACGCAATAAAGTGAGGGATTTATTCCCCGGGACAAATACTGACTGTTAGATGAAAAAAATTGTAGTAAAAGTTTTTTAGTTGCGTAGATATCCGATATAATCGGCGACATCTGGATAATGCGCTTCCTGGAAGATGAATACGTCGGGATGATACAATGACCTGGCCACAGTGATCGCTCAGCCTCAATTCTCTGGATTTTTATTTTTCGGGTCACTTAAAAAGCATAGTGTACGCCACGGAAGTTAATACTGAGCAAATCTTGCAAAATCAGATACATGCCAACACCCTGGGTTAGACCGCGCTAGTGGGAGATCGTGAATTCGGAGAGAAATTTGAAAGTAAATATCACGGATATCTATGAAACAGAAAATATTTTACTACAAATTTTTTCGCCTATTAGTCATTATTCGCCATGAGGAGTAAATTCCCAACTTTATGCGTATAGGTTGAGAATCACCCTGTATACAATGCTTTTAAAGTTCTAGACAGAGACTTATTGCGCTGCTTCTGTCGATTAATTAGAGGTTCGTCTATTTTTTTAATATATTTTTTGGCTTCCTTGCTAATAACAATATTTAATGAATTTCTTTAATTAAGTCCTTCGTTGAACAGACTACCCGTGATATGTGAAGTAACATCGACAATTTTTAAGCTGTAGTGTAGGTGTTTTCGGGTCAATCGCTAAACCATTGCGTTAAAGCTTTCATTAGCACTCTGAATATTGCCCCCAAATATGATTAGTAAGTTGTCTTCAGATAGATCTTCATCAATACATATTTTTCTTCATCTGGATGAAGTGCTAAATAGTGTGAATAAGCAAAGATGGTCCAGGTTTCCAATCAAAAAATTTGATGACTTTCGATAAATCGCCTTTTGTATTAAATCTGTGTGCGATTCGGTTTATGTTCCTCAAATATCGTCATTATCCCAGTCTTCTTGTGGTGTTCGTAGAGTTTCAGGTTTTTGAACAAAATCTTTATTTGTGTCGTATTTAGTTGTTTTTGAGAATGACTTATAGAACTGCCTAAAAGAAGTTTTTGGTAGAAATTTGTAAAGATTTATTGACTAATGTTGCAAAAATTATTTTTAGTCTTTTGGTAATTTTCCATTTTTTAGTTTATTATAATATATAATTTATTCATGATTTTTTGCGAAAGTTCCAATAAAAAAAATTTCGCACGCACCATGCGGAATGTAACACCTGCGTGCGATTAACATTTGCAGAAAAGAAATAGTACGTGAAATTTCGACGTGTTTGGGGGCCGCTTTCGGCCTTTTTCGTCGAACGTTGCCCAATTTTACTGTTTTAAAAACGCTCACGGACCGGTTTTCAGCGTCTCCATCAGTATACTCAGATAGCTATACATTTTCGACCGTTTCGACATCATCTCTGGCGCCCCGTTTTTAAAAACCTATAAAACCTCCCAATTTTGGCGGCCCCCATGACGACAAGTTTATTTTTATTATAATCATTTCGCAAAACCAAAAAAGGTCACTTTTTTTAAATTATTGCTCAGTATACTCAGTATAGTAAACGAAGCGTTTTATCGGGAAATCACGTCCGGGAATTACGGGCTTTGCGTCAAACGTAGCGCCCGTGTGGAAAACCCGATGCATTTTAATTAATTTTCCGCATACGCAAAGTGCATTCAACTCTCTTCTATTAAGACTTCACATTTTATACCGATAACAATCGTTCAAAGAAAAAAAGTCTTAATCCAAAAACGAGCCGCATTCGGAGTGTGATGAAACCTCTTGCACGACCATATTTGGATGTAGAACAGCACAGAGTGTTCTGCTACACTTATACTTAAAATGGAAACATGATTTTTATGACTCATCCATTTCATTTACCCTACATCACTTAATTTATATCAACATTTACTACATCAATAAATTATAGTTTTTAATAACTTTTTCTTGCGTTCCCAAAAATTTCTGTTGGTGTATAAGAAAAGTATGAGTTAAAAAAAGAAAAAAGGAACTGTTGGTTTGGTTTGGTTGGTTGGAGAGCGATGAAAAAGTGCGTGCAAAAATGGTAATGAGCTCGAGTTCAACGTCCTCGACTGTGGCACGGGTCCGGCACGCGATTATAGCGCGTAACGACGAGGTGTTAAAGAAATTTATTGGAAGAAATCGGACGTAATACTGACACGCATTTCGGCTGGCTCTCCGGTTTCGGGTGCCGAATTTTCGTACTTTCGAATCGCGGTGTGGTTTTCTACTTTGTAAAACGCCCACGGAACAACATCTCAATATAATTAAAAAAAGATAAGAACAAAAAGGTACATTTCAACACACCCAATTACATTCAATTTAAACGAAAAAACTCGCATCTTAACGCAGTTAACACACAAGAAATTTACATACAATAAAGTACTTTTAATTCCTATCAATTAGGTATTATTAAACAAATTTTTTAAATAAATAAAACATACTTACATTCCTTTTATAAACTTCAAAAAAAAGTTAGATAATAAATACATTGAAATCAAAATGATTACTAAACGTCAAAATATAAACGTCAAAATCGTTCCACATAGCGCCATCTATTAAATAAACCTAAAACAAATCAAACCTTCAAAAAATAACTGTTTTATCAACAATAAAAATGATTTATTTAGTTTAATATTAATTAAATTATTAAAATAAAGTTAAAATTGAGTTTAATGAGATTATCAAAAATTAATTAAAAAGAAAATCCTCAAAAATATAGCGTCATCTATCAAATAAAACATAAACTTCAAATCGTCAAAAATAAAACTGTTTTACCGACTTTAATAATAATCCCCTTTAATTAATAACAATAATTGTTTTATTCAAACATCTTTTACATCAAACACAATTTTTATTATAATTAATTCAATATAAACTAAATCCCAAATAATTATTAACATTATTTTCAAAACGACCTTGAATTTTATTTGGCATGTTAACCAAAAAAAACTTCTTGGGCAATGAATAATATTATAAACAATAAACAAATCTAAAGTGATCTAATCATTTTAAAGGCTTGAATTGTTTTAGTGTTATATCTTTTGTTGCTAAAATCTCTTACCTTAATAAAATACTTCCTGGTGTTTGTAGAATGTAAAAACGAAACACAAACCGACGAAAAACTAAACGCAGTTGATGTTAACCTTACGAAGACGGTCACATGAATTAATCCGAACCGGTCACCTACAACGAATTTATTAAACAATTATATCAAAGTGCAAAATGAAATTTGATCGTATTTATTCTTTTTAACCTTTTTAAATTGCTTAATTTGTGTTATGTAATTGTTAATTTAATTTGCAGTTAATGTTTACAACACTGATAACTTAAAAATTACATTAAAAATGCTTTTAAACGGTGTTAAAAACTTGAAATGTACTAATTTAATCACTGGTGACAACTTTGACAGGTATTTTGACATTTACTGTTCAAGTAGCGCCATCTAATATCAGAAAAAAATATTTTTTAATCATATTGAAATAATGTATTAGAAACATCTTAACTAATATTATTTTGTTAATTATTTATTTATTATTCTGTTGAATTAATTGTTATAAATCGACAATTCTTCTTGGCAGCTCTAAATTTTGCCATAAGTGCAAGTTAGGGTGATGAATAATAATACAGTGTGATCCTTCATAAAGTAGAAATGGGAAGTGATCAAACAGCCATTACTTTCAACAGAACCACAATAGAAAAGTGTTATTCTTACATAATATTAGCCACGGAAAACAGCTTTCCATAGTTTTTTGTTTCCAAATGTGAATTTTAAAGCTCAAACCAATGCTTCAGGGAGGTCCAACAAATTAACATTTCAGTGGTAAATGAACTTTTTGAAAGAATCAACAAAGCTGTCTAAGCACAACTAGGATTTATTGCCGAAGAGCAAAGATGACGTTGCTGAACTAGTAGAACTAGTAAAAACCTATCCCAGTAAATTATTCCAAGTATGATAGCAGGTACATAAGGTAAGTGGCATATAACAAGGCTTGACCTCTACTGTTATGGAGAGTGATGGGACGAAGTTTATAGGTATCTGTTCGTATGTATCTTCTTCCACTACATTCCCAGTTCCACGCCTACATATTTCTTTCTAGTGACCAAAACATACAGGAAAGGTAACCGTTTTGCAGCTTCCGTTTCCATGATAAATTTGAGCACGGAGAGTTACCAAATCAAGAAGGTGTCATCCACGTAACTGGGCGTACCTAATCGGTTGAGTAATTTTCCAAGAACTTGTTTGGTGTGCACAATTTATCTTCCCCACAAAAACATGTTATTTCGTGATTGCTGATAGAGCAAAGATGATGTTGCTGAACTAGTAGGAAAAACCTATCCCAGTAAGTTAGTGACATATACACACTGGATTGTGAAATATTCCACGATTATGAATTTCTTTCATCAAAAGTGACTGATCGCCCTTCGCAACATGACAAACAGCACCTTGGAAGAAGATCAACCCAGAAATAAGAAGTGAAAATCACGAATCTTGCAGCTTACCGGGCTAGTGCAGTACTTACTGTGTCTTCCCTCTGCTTGCGTTGTTCGATGACTCGCTGGATTCTTCGGTACATTCGGTAACTGTTTTGCAGCTTCCGTTTCCATGATAAATTTGATCATGGAGAGTTACCAGATTCCCCAAAAAACATGTTAATTCGTGAGTCATATAATAAAGCTTCATAAAACACTTCAATAAGTGTCTCTTATTTTTTGTAGGACTTAGGCCCACTTTTACCATCTTCCTGATAAACTATCTAAGAGGTAATTACCATGGTTACGGTGGTTTTAAGCGCTCTCATTGGCTAACAGCGCCAATTTATCTATCGGATAAATTTATCAAGAGGTGGTAAAAGTGGGCCTAAATAGTATAAGAAAATTTTGTATGAAACACTCTGTATAATTATTATTCCTTCAGTTACTTCATCTCTTAGTGGAATTTGGTAATATTAAGTTGTCGATCCTGATATTTTATTAGTCATCCTTCATTTGAAAACTGGAATTATTTTTATCATACAATACTCCGATAAGATACTCGTAAAGTTCAATATGATGATTAACCGCATCACCGATTACTTTAGTTTAATATTGGGTTCGATTTAAGATAAAAGTACGGTTCAAAATAATTGAAAATTGACAAATTATTATTTTCGATAAATGACAAACCCTCAAAATACGAGTACTGGCGACGCCAGGGACGCTTTTTTATTCGAAGATATCGAAAATTACAAATTCGGTTACGTGGACGGATTAGGTAAAATAGAAACTTTGGTTTTTTTGGATTATTCCAAAAGAGTTGTCTGTTTTGTAGGTTAGTACCAAACATAACCTCACTTTTATAATTTTTGTTATCCGCATTTTTCTTGATGATTTTCTTTTATAGAGCGAATGGGAAAGATTTTTGCACCTTTAAAACATGATATGAATGGAAATATAAATGTGAGTTATTATAATAATTGTGGTATCATATTTTAATTTATTTTTAAGTAGAAATTAACCAAAAAGTATCTTGAAAATGAAACATCTTACAAATACCTTGATGATATGATTTTGGATGAGAAGAAACAGAAAAAAGATGTGGCTACTGATGCTTTGATGTGGCTCAGAAGGGGGTTACATTTTTTAGCTACATTTTTTCAACTTATTGTTGATGATAAAACTCAACAAGAAAGTTTAGTTCAATTTATTAGAACTGCTTATGAAGAAGTTTTGCAACGTTATCATGGCTGGATGGGAGTTCAGTTATTTAATGTAAGTATACTAAAACTGGATTAATGGCCATAAAATATTATTTGTCTTTTAAAGATTATGTGTAGGTTTGCACCAAAACGTAGAGAATTATTTAAAATAATCGCACCAGAAACCCAAAATGAAACTGAAATCATGCAGAACATGAACATTTTTAAAACTAACTTATTAACAGCAATAAATTACCTTATTAACTTTTATGAAGAGCATGAATTAGAAACGACTACTGTTGTGTAAAGATAATAAATAAATTTATTTTTGTTGATTTTTATTCATTCTTTGCTTTATTTCTTGTTACATTTATGTTCGAAATCCTAAAATAAACAGTTTGCATTTTTGATGTATACTTTAAAGCGAAATAACCAGAAAATATTTCAAATAGTAACAACAAAAACATTACAGATTGGACAATTATTTCCAAAATTTTTAATTTAAGATATGGATTAAATAACAAAAAACTTTGTAATGGTAATTGTAGTAAGATTGATAACATCCAAAATCCAGCTAATTCAGGAATCTAAAAATTATTTCGGTTAATATAAACAATAAGTACAGTAAAATTTTGATTTAATGGATTAATACGGGGAAGGAAGTGTCTGTTATAGCCAAATGAGTAATTTTAAAGCACACAAATTTGGACAGCTATCCACACCGTTGCGTTTAATCTACCTGGCTTTATATTTATATCTAGGACGGTAAAATGGTGGAACAAATGCAACGCTTGAAGGCACGTTCGTGACGTCAGCGCTGAATAACAATTAAAACTAGAAACATTCGAATTTAGCCGTGCGTCTTTTAAGACGGCTAAACCCGAATGTTTCTCGTTCTAGGTTTAGTTTCGCTTTTAGTTCAATAAAAATATACAACAACCTAACACTGAATAACAATTAAAACTACAACTAACACTAGACCTACAAACATTCTCAATAAAACCCGAAACTTTATATAGTGCTAATAGTCAGTTATAACAACCTAGCGCTGAATAACAATTAAAAGTAGATCTACCGTCTTTGCTTTATACAATATATCGAGGTTTTATAGTATTATAATGTCATGATGGTGATTTTTTTTGAAATCATTAAAGGGGAGCGTTTGCACCTTACCAATTATTTAAAAAAACAAACTTACTTTATCTCTTAAATTTCCTTCGTAACCCAAATACAATCGTAAAATTTCCAGGGAATACAAAGAAATTATGATTGTAATGATTATAAATTTGTATAACTCATTAAAACAATTAAACTAAAAAAAAATAAAGAAAGTTGAATTTTTTATATATTAACTAATTTAGTTAAATTAATAAATTCTTTCTGATTGTTTATATTTTCAGTATATTCTAAATTATTCTGTGTACTGGTGTCCCAGATTCTTTACCCAACATAAGAGTTTTATCACCAAAGCAGTTTTGCGACAAACATTATTACAAACCTGGACCAGTCATTCCATGTTTCACACCCATACAGGAGGACTGGATTTACGTTGCTGTTAAAGAAACGCATTTTTTTTTTTTTTTAATATTTTTATTTCGCCAGATAGGCTACAACTCTCTGCCGTTCTTCTTTTCAGCATCCTTCTCAACAAAGCTACCAAGGTACACGAATGTTTCAACTCGTTCCAAGTCTCTTCCAATCACTTAACTTAGTTTAGACTACAGAAGTGATCCTCATCTCCTTCGTTTTTTTGCTTCTGCCTCATCTTATGTTAGTAGGCAAATGTTGTTTGCAAACTCAAGGTTATCAAGTTTATCATGGAGCAGTTGAGATGGAACCCACAAGGAGTACGGAGACGAGGACGCCCAAGAATGACATGAAAAAGAACTGTTAAAAAAGAAGCAATAGAAGCCTCCTATGCTTCACCAGGAGTGATAGGAAACACGCCAAGTAAGTTGGGTCAGCAATTTCTTTCTTAAGAATCTTTTGATCAATACGGTGCAAAGTTTCTAAAGATGAAAAATTTTTTCAGAACTAAGTAAGTTCTTATTAGAAGAGCCTTTTTAACTCAGCCATTTATTTCATATATAAATTCCTACGTTTTAGCTTGCATAGCACTATCAATGATTATGCTAATATTAAATATCTAAAACTCCATAGTGCAGCTTTAGTTTTGTTGATAAGGTTATCAGCTGTGATTTGTTTATATAAACATGGTATAAGTTACTTATTATACAGGAAGTATATCGTTAGTTTCAAATAGAGTCATTTTCAGAAGATCTAGCATGTCAGTAAAATTTTTTCTAACAACTTCCTTAATAGACCATTAAATTCCTTACTGATAAGCTATTTAGTATGCGTGTTCCGGCTATGTTCAAAATCTTCCTGCAATGTATTTTAATTAGTCGAAAATGAGCCATGTCAAGTGTTTGAAGAAGATGTGTTCTATTACAATTTGTGGTGGGTTCAACAATAGGATGGATCCGAAGCGTTATGTCTTATATTATTAATAAAGATTTGACATTTAAAGACCATTCGTGAACTGCATTAGATTTAAACTCTCGCACTACAATGAAAATAGTCTTTAATACTCATCAACATGATTACATCAATTCTTCACAAAAAGTTGAGGAGCACCTTTACGCGTGCATGACGCATATAAAGTTGCAACTAGAACTACAGTCAGACCCAATTGTAGGTAAACAGCCAGCAAACTCCTTTTGCATCTGGGGCAGCTACATCGTTGTGTGATACAAAAAACTAAGGTTTTGCAGAAATCTTAGTCGCAGCAATATAAATGTAATTTTTATAATCGCCTCTTGTCAGTTGATTGGAAGAAGCATCACAAGATATAGAGATATTAGAGTCAAGACAATGTGATAACAGCGTATAAGAACTTAATAAAATGCACACGAAGTGATACAATGTTGAGTATTGATGTCGAAAATCCAATTCAACTTTTATGAGTTCAAGTCCCCGATAATCCGCAGAAGGCTGAGTTATAAAAAAATGTAGTGCCTACAGTAGCCTATGCCACAAACCTGTAAAAATATTTCGTTTCCGAAATGCGGCAGGCATGCCTATTAGATTTGCTTCATCGAAAACATGACTTTTGTGTGATGACTTTATTACTCCAGACCAGTGATACATCTCAACAACTCTACTTTTTCTTTAACGTTTTTTCGTTACTAACATAATATATGATCTTGAGATTGACACATTGCCACCCTCTTGGCCACGCTATTATACTGGGTGTTTTTTTAAGCTCAATAGAACTTTATATTGAAAAAATTACACAAAAAATTAAATTTTAATCCATAAAATGTTTTTGTTCGAAAGATCAATACATGGCATTAACATTTGAAAATGATTTCGGGCATATACCGCGGCTGTTCTTGACGAAGCGCATTCTGGACATTCAATTTTGGGTCGCATTGCTGGCCGTATGTCACGAATAACAGGAACAATGTTGGCCTCCAAAGCGTCAATTGTTGCTGTATTATTAACATAAACCAATGATTTCGCGCAGCCCCACAGGAAATAATCAAGAGGTGTCAAATCGCATGACCTTGGAGGTCAATTGACAGGTGCATTTCTCGAAACCACATCTCGCTCAGATCAATGTCATCCATGTTTTCAAACAAAAAATCATTGATTATGGTGCGGTAACGATCTCCATTGACCGTAACGTGAGCTCCGGCTTCATTTTTGAAGAAATAAGGTCCAATGATGCCACCAGCGTGCAAACCACACCAAACGGTGCATTTTTCTGGATGTAATGGAGTCTGTAGGGTCTGTTGTGGATGGGTTTCACTCCATATGCAGCAATTTTGTTTATTAACAAACCGATTAAGCCAAAAATGAACCTCATCGCTGTACACAATTTTGCGATAAAACATCGGATCAGTTTCCAACTGCTCTAGGGCCCAATCGGCGAAACAACGACGCATATGATAGTCTCGAGGCTTTAATTCCTGCACCAGCTGGATCTTAAACGGGTGTAGTCCAAGATCTTTGCGCAAAATTTTCCACGTAGTGGACGGACAAAGTGGACATTCTTCCACACTTTAGTTTACAGTGGCGAGATTTTCTTCAGTACGCACATTCCTTCGACGTGTTGGTGTTATTGCATCATTTAGAGAGTATGTGGTATGAAATCTATCCGCAGTTCGACGGATGGCTTGCTCAGGTGGACGATTATGTGCGCCATACAAATCACGAAGTCGTCTATAAGTTGTGCGAATCGATTACTGATTTTCAAAGTAAATCTGGATAATTTGGTAGCGTTGTTCAAGCGTCAATCTATTCATGATGATTTGCCAGAGTATACTGATCATAAATATCAAAAAGTGAGCGCAGTATGACAGTTCGTTTAATAGTTAACCCTCTTGTAAATTCTATCTGGCTTAAAAAAACACCCTCTATTACGTCGCTCATATCGGCAATCACGAGTCTTCTTCAATTTTTAAACCTGTTGCATAATCTTTTTTAGTATTTATGTATCCACTGTTGAAGTTTTTTGCACTTCCTTCTTAATGTTGCTAAGCAGCCTGGAGATATGTAGGAGTGTCCTACTATAAGAAAAATGATCTCCAACTTAGTTTTGAAGCATTACACAGCTGGTTTTACTTCCAACTCAATCATAAAATAAACGAATAGTATTAACATTTTAGTTGTAAAAGTTTATCAAATTCTAATTACATTCAAAAGAAAACTCCTCCAATGTTTTAGGCCTTTTTTGTAAGTTTTTTTAATTGGTTACAAAACGTTTTAGCTTCTGCTTTGTGGGGTTTGTTGTCTAGAATCAATTTATGAATGATAGACTTCCCAGTAACAGCTTTAATTTGAAAAAACGAATTTTTTGCGAACACGCTGTATCTCAAAAATGGTGCATTTTAGTAAGTTCATAGAAACTTTTTTTCAAATTTTTGGTTAAGCTATCACCTCTTGAAGTCGTGCGCATATATTATGAAACACCCTGTATAACTTGTTTTCCTGTTGTTTACAATATATTCTATAATCTTTTACGTAATATGTCGTCATAATATTACAACATCAAATTCGTATTATTCCAAAAAGTGATAAAACGATCTTCCAGGAATTTAACGTCAATGATTTTTCGAAAAAAAATTAATAAGAATTTTTATGTTTTGTGGGACACCAGTATACAAAATTTTTGAAATCGATTCAATAATTAGTACATAGTTACCTGATCGTATAAAAACAAAGTAATTACAATAAGCCAAATCGGTAAAAAGATAACATTAAAATACAAAGATATTTGTAGAGGAAGATTAGATAAGACTTCGTTTCCTATAAAAAAATTGTTGATTATCTTTTTTACTAATTAATAAATCAAAAATCATACCGATTAACTTTTCATCAATTTTATGAGATAAACCAGGAAACAATTTATCACTCATAATTGTAACAGTTTGCTTCCAATCCATAATAATAATGGCTTCTTATAAATTTTATTGTTTTCTTTCTTTTGTTCTTGATTTGTTTTGTTTGTATTCGTTGTCATGGCATCCTACACTCCTGACACACAATTTTAAAAAAAAGATCAATAAAAACATGCAAATATAAATAGAGAGAAGACGTGAATTCGTGAATAGTTTTTTGGCCGGCGTGACGTAAAGATAATTAAAATCTATGTTGATATCGTAACAAGATAACATTATCTATAATATTTTATCTGAAACCTATGGCATTTCTTAATTCATTCTTGTGTAAAAACAAACGAACACACAATATTATGGATCGTAATGATTTGGTAAATTCTTTTGATTTAAAAAAGTACGTTTTTGTTTATTTCAAAACGTCAGGGTAAGATTAAATTTTTTTAGATCGGAAGATTTTTTAAGAAATCATTGCGACATCGAGTGTTTGAGCGAATTTTTCGAGAATTTGTTGCAAAAATGGAAACAAAAATGGAGGAATTTCGATGATTGCAGAGAAGATGTTAAAGAAAAAATCGATATTGCTTTTGACGAGTTATCAATGAGGGATTATTTTAATGATATTTATTTAGATTATTTATATGTAGCTTTAGAATGGTGAGTTAATTATTAAAATTAATTTATTAATTATTTTTTTTTTATATTTAGTATTATTTTGAATCGATTACACGACAAAATCTACTCATTAATTTCTTTCGATCACGACGAAATTGATAAATTATTTTACGAAAAATGTAAACGTCTTTCTGATAAAGATATAACAGCAGAACAATTAGGAGCACCCCCAGATTATGCAATCCCTTTATTTGCAGCGGTAATTATTATTATAAAGAAATTAAGTAAATTAAAAATTATATTTAAGAAGATTGTTTGTATTTTAGGTTGTTGAATTTTCCAATTTGGACGTTAGAAAAAGCCCAATTGAGAAAGTTAATTGCCTCTGCACGACTTATGACTTAATTTTTGCCGAGTTAAAATCAGGTATAATCGAAATTATCTCAAAATCAGGTAATGTTATTATTTATTATTATTTCTTGCTTCAACTAAATTTATTTTTAGATATGGAAAATCAAATACCAGTTATTGAGAACAAAGATATCGTCCCGATTTTAATGGCTGTGATTATAAAATCGAAAATAATTCATTTACACTCCAATATGTATTACATTGAACATTTTTTATGGAAATTACAAAATTCACAAGACGTCCAGTAAGTACAGCATGGGGCAGTCTAACAGCACTAATTAAAATTTTTAGAAAAGTATCATAGAACATAAATTTAATTGTTTTTGCAAATATTAAGACCAAAGATAAAATTTTATATAGAAGCAGAAAAAAGTTTCACTTTTTGAATATTGATTGTATGAGGTTTTTATAATTAGATAGTTGTTAGTGATTATCATATTCAATACACTTGAAAGTTAAGTCAACATGCTTAATTGGAATGCTTAGCAACTGTGTTTTGCTGTTACAGCTTATTTAGAAAATGGTCAAAGTTATGTGCAAGCACAATTTTGCGAATCTTTTTCATCCCACAAGTGCCTATGAATGAGAATACTCATTTCCAACAAGATGGAGCAACTTGTCATACAGCTAGGGTTATATTGAACTTTGTTAAAGAATTTTTTCCTCATTAGTAAAAATGGGAATATTCATTGGCCTCCAAAATCGCCTTATGACTATTTTTTATGGAGATATCTCAAGTCTAAGGTGTATGAGGTACGCCTGGTAACAATATAAGACTTAAACGAATGCATTGAAGATGAAATTCCTGCAATAATGTGTGCAAAATGACCCTTAACATTTGTTGCAAAAAAAAATTAAACTTATTTATCTATTACATGTATTTACATTTAATTATTCCATTTCGTGATATACATAACATTTAAAACATCATTGTGATTTCTGAATTTCTTATTGAGATCTTCTGAAATCTAATTGTAATTTTTATAACTTTGTTTTTAGAAATACAATTTCCAATTTTAAAGTAGCAATAGAAAAGATATCAACATTAAGCGATGAAGATTTAAAACCATGTGATGGAAAAATATGCAAAGAAATGGATTCTTTGAAAATGATGCAACTCATGACCACCGAAGAAAAGTATAAAAAAGACGAAAAAAAATCTTTAGTAGAAAATCACGTACATAGAATTTACAATTTAATTTTAACATCAACAACTTGTAAATTAAATTATTAAATAAATTAAATAACACAAAGTAAATCATCTCATTTATGATGTCGGTAATGCAGAACGCTGTAACTTAATTTATGACGAAAATAAATTATTTTTTAATATATTTATATTTGATTTTAAAAAAATCGATTATTAACTTAATTAAAACTTTATAATTAAATCATTACGCACATCGAAAACGTAAGCAACAACATTTAAATATATTGCGCAGTAGTTTTAATTTTGTTATTTAAATTTTATTATCGCACCAGATCGTCGAAATTACAATAAAATCGTATTTTAACGTATTCGCCGATACTTATCGCAAAAAACTAGTTAAATTTAATAATTAACAAATTTTTTTCAAACCCCAACTGTCGTTTTACATCTTCCTAAAATTTTAGGTTATGTTATTATTAAATATGGCGCAATATTCAATTCAAGCTAATTTTAATAATTAATCTTTACGTTACGTCATCGAAACAATTAAAATGTAAGTAACCTTATAAAAACTTACCTTTAAACGTTAAAAATACGCAAGAAGTAGCGCTTATTTTTAAACAATCTCCATTAAACGCACGTTGAAATCAAATTTCGCGCCAAAAGAAACCGTTTTTACCCACCGGGTGGTCATTCATTTTCGTTTTGCGCTTATTGTAGTAGTGATTGCAATTGTGCGAGAGGTTGAAAGAGTGTGAAACTGAACTCGGTGTGTTTGACTGTGTTGGAGGCGAAAGAGTAAAACGTTAGTAAGTACTTACCGTTTTGGAAATTGTCACAGTTAGTATCGGGATGTTTTTAACCCCATTCAAATCCCCCCTGTCATAGGATTCTTCTCAACTCCCCGTTGACTCTTGTCTGATTTGTCAGCTAGTTTGGAGCGTTTTTTGCGCTCACCACTCGCTGGTTTATTGCGTTTTGTTGCTTTATGGGTGTTAAAGGACCCCGGCCCCAACTAGACGATGTAAAATATCCTATAATATTTGACAATTTTAACAAACGCCTAAACTAACCCCCTTTTTTCACTGTGCGTTTCATTTTTAACCTTGGAAGTTTTAACCTCTTGTGTATGTGTATCTTCTTTTGAGGTAATCAAGAAAACCTACATTATGGTATTAGATTGTTTTAAGTTATATTTTGTGTTTAATTGATATCTTAAGTTTTATTTAGATTTTTAGGTTAAGTTTATCCTATTTAAGGTGTTTGTTGAAAAAGGTGCTTATCTTAGTATTTGGGGTTATGTATTGGTTTATTTTTAATTTCTTTTTTAAATTGATACTTTTAATCCTAAAATGTAACTCGTTTTATTGTTATTTGTATTAAATATTGATTTGAAAAACACTAATTTTGATCTGTTTTATGAAGTACAATTTGAAGGAAAACGTGTTTCGCAGAGAAATTTCAATGTAATTTAACTTGTTTGAATATAACAATGTATTTTTGATAATCTCAGCCATAAAATGAATAACATGGAGTGCATTTTTAAACAAAATGATGATATTGGAGATTGAAAAATGAAGAAAATTAAGACAAAATTAAAAAGATTGCAGTGACAGGAAGAAATGTTACATATTAGCACAATTAGAAGATGGAGGTGGCTCAACATTCTATATTATGACTAACTAAAAGAGAAGATAAGGAGATTCAACTATATTCCAAAAAATTAGCCTACCTCAATAACTTTGGAAGGTACAACTTTTAAAAATTTATTAATTTTGTGCCCATTATCACAAAAAGGTGGATTAAAATACTTAATATTCTTTTATTTTTAGATTAATTTGGAATATATACACCATGTTGAGCCACACACAGCTTAAATGAAAGATTTAGACAACCTCAAGATCAATTTGATTGATTCCATTCACTTCTTTCTCACTACAAGAATAATTTGAATGTGCAGCATCTTTTAATGGCTATTCAAGAATAAGTTTTTACATATCTAGCAAGAGGAGACCATGACATGCGATCAATGTGGAGTTAGAGGTTGATTTCAACCATAAAAATGAAACAATGAGAGTGATTAGGGTTTAAAATCAATTTAATTTTGATTTTTTCACTCCAAATGTGAAAAGGAAATTTACTTAATCGTTTTTCTTTGTTTTTATATCGAATCATATCGTATTTTTTGAAAATTCTAAAATATTTGGGTTGATTTAAACAAATTGTTTAAAACTAACGATTTTTAAAACGCTTTTAAACCACGCCAATAAGTTTAAAAGAATAGATACGATTAAAAATTATCATAAAATTTTTAAAATACTATACCAAAACTTCTAAAAAAAATTAACACACTTATTACTCATGTTCACTATTTACACCATTTCGTTCTTTAAATATAGCGACTAATTTTACTGCGTTTGGGTTTGAAATAGAAATAGTTTAAATTTTTTACAATCCAATGTATTGAACCATACAATTTAACATTATTTTAGCAAGAGTTAGTATCATTTCTAAACGGTTTTGAACTACTCATGCGTTTTTAAAAAACTTTAACAGTTCTATTTAATCTTGGTAGATTTGCCTCTTTGTGTCAATCATATTTTTATATTATAAGATAGTCTTCAACAGCAATATTTAAATCTGTACCTAATAATTTCGAAAATTAAAACATAATTTATTTAAAATTTTAAATCCAGTTCTCTTAATAACTTGTAGCTGGTATTAAAATTGCGTATTTTATATTTAGTTAGGAGAGTTTTTCATTTTGAATAGACATAACTGCTATAACATTCTGACAGTCTACTTTATCTCTATCTATATTCGCAATTCTTATAAATACGTTTTCTCATCACATTTTGTCAGGTTACTTTTCTAGTGCATGCTTGTAGATCTTTTATTGAGTGGGAATAATGTGAACCAAGCATTATGCCTGGTTCATATTATTCCAGTCTAATAGACTGGATAAGTCAATCCAGTCCAGTGCTGGACTAGATCATTATTCTAGTGATTCAAAAGCTGTTGAATCAGTAACATTATAATAACAATGATTTTCCAAGTAAGGAGTTCAAAAATTGTTTTAAAACTGTTCAATTACTACTATTAGAAGAAGTAACTGATGTAGTGTAGCCGATTTAGAATTTTTGAAAAGGCTATTTCGACAGGTAGATATTGTGGATCATATTGTCTATGGAGCTTGTTCTCTACACAAGTGGTTACAAAAAAAGTCGAGCGGTTATCTGACTACTTGTTTTGTTGATCGCGAGTGTTCACTGTTATCAACGTATTCAGCACTGGATTGGCCGTCTACACTATTCCAGTGGCGCTGGAATAGGCGAGCTGGAGTGAAAAAGTAATTCAATCTAGTCACTGGACTGGATTGCTTATTGGAATGAGTGCCGGTTCACATTATTTCAGTGGAATTGTTTCGATCATTGGACTGGACTACTACTGGAATAATGTGATACGAGCATAAGGAGGTGAAATCACATTTTTCTTCTAAACTGTTTTGAACTTGGTCGTCCTCACCGATTTTATTGTTGTGATTAAATTAATAGCCAAGGAATTAACGGTGCACATTTTCAGTAGAATTATGTATTTCTACATTATAAATTCCAAATTGCATTTCCACATTGCATTCTTTCTTTGTTTAATTATTTTTGTATTACAATGCTCTTTTAATACCTCTTCAAGTTCCTTCTCTGTAGTGATTTCTGAAATAGCAGTAAGCTAACAGAAATCAGAAATCACTTGTGAAGTTATGTTTGGCTTTACACCACATTAGAACTTTTTGGGTTGAAAGGTTTGTACATGCTAAGCTTTTGAGCTAAAATATTTTCAAAACTGCCTCCACCTCCCAAGTTGCAGAAGATCACTACAACTTCGTGGTTTTAAATGAAATGTAGTAGCTTTAATTTTATGTTTTGATTCTTTATCCGAAAATATATTGACTTTGATAAGGGGATGCCAGGTGGTACTTTTAGTTTTTAAGTTATTTTGATTAAATTTGTTTAGCTCGCCAAACAGGTGTCGAATATTTGGCTTCTAATTCACTAAACAAATATGTTTTGAATCGATTGGTCGCATGTCATGGTCTTGCCTGTCAAACAATAAACTTGGAAGAAATTGTTTTACATTTACTTACTAATTTCAGCAGAGGCAAATCGCTGAAAAGTAAACAACTTTTCAGTTTTCGAATGTATAATTCTTTGATATAGAAATAACCACCACAGAAAGATACTCTATAGAACATTTTCTAATTTAAGTAATGACCTAGGATCTGATGTCGAAAATAACATAAATATCTATAAAAGAAGCTAGAAGAAAAACGGATGGATATTGTTATAGATAAAACCAAAATATGGAAGAATTAACAAGTATGGAAGAATTTGTGAAAGGCGTTAGGATAAAAGAAAATGTCATATCAAATAAACAACACTCTAATAGGCAAGAACACACTCTATATCAAACCAAAAGATGTACTTTTGCCAAACAATGTGTACACAATATTCATTCTGACCTATACAACAATATAGTTGTGTGAGTCAGAATTATGGCTAGTGATTGGTTAAAATTTAGATAAATAATACTTGCAAAAATTTGAAATGTGGTACTTAAGGAAAGCGATAGGCAGGATTAGAATAGACAAAATGAGAAAGAGTAGTGCAAGGAAAGAACTAAATTTAAAAGTAATAGATAGTACATGTAAATAATGTTTTAAGTGAATGACCTGATGGCAGAAAAAGAAAAAAAGGGACAACCACCCAGGATGTTGGTTAGACAGAAGAACAACTACATGAGATGGAACAAGCACTCAATGTAGTAAGGATAAAATTAGATACGACAAAAAGTATGCAGAGCACGCATATAGTGAGCAAAATTTAAGACAAAAAGATGCCTTTATGCAACATCTTTTATATGCAGCTTTTTTTAAAGTTTAAATATGGACTCTCCGAAAGTTTGTGCGCGTATTGAATATGTTAGGGACTCAAATATTGTCGTTTTAAGGAACTTACTAAGTGATCTCATTTGGACCACCATTGCTAATTAGGATCTGCCAATCCTTATGATGACTAACTACTCAAACTGAAGAACTGTATTCTATGGTTATTAAGATATATTCAACATTATTTCATGTATCATCATAATTTTACTTGTTGATGTGAAGAGAAAAATGTGACTATAGAGTAACTAATATACAGCTGGAGTAATCTCAAACCTCAGCAATATCATTCTGCAATACTATTATGGATAATGCATCATAAAATTACCAACTCAGCAAATCGAAATGAATCATTCATTAATTTACTCTTCATGTATCTGGTATAATTAGGCTGTAATATTGCGCAATAGTTATTTGAGCGAAGTAGTAATCATACAACGTTCTATAATTATGGTTGAATCGCATAAAAGTCATCGTTAAATCAATAAACATTAAGAAAAATACCTAAACAATTGTTAGGTGCGTTTAGTTCAGTGATTAAGAAATGAAAACGCCGCTATGTTCGTCATTCCAAGAAAAAGTCAACTCAATACCTTAACACATTTTAGCATAATGTGTACAAAGTAATTAGAAATATGTCGTTCAAGTTCACTTTGGTATGGCGTGTTACAATAAGACTTCTATGTATAGTTATTTAGTGTTTTTAATATTCATGCATTTCTAATGGACGCACTATGTTGACTTTTGCAGCTTGGAATGGATTCGCTTAGAATCATACTTTGTGGTTCTCTATTAATATTTGATAATTGAGTTATCCTTCCTTCTCCTCTTTAGGCTGTTATATGTAGATTCTACAGTACTGAGATTAGAAATTTGTCATCATCTATTTTTGGCGGTGATTTGACCTATGTTTGTAATATTTTTTTTCTCTATGTAATATTCCAATATTACTGTGTAAACAATGTATTGGTTTCACCCAACAGATTTTCTTTCATTTTGGTTAAGTTCCATCGTTGCTGTAAATTAATATGGATCGTGATTGGCGCTTTTACAAAAATGATTTTGATATGTTGATAAAGTAATGTGCTGAGAGTGAGATCATATTGTAGATTAATGTAATTATTGTATGCCTGGAAATGACATTACCTCTAACTAATAACATTTATTATTGAAGAACGTGAAACTACTTAGTACTGCCTAGGATTTTGAAGATAGCTTTGAAAAAAACAATTTTATAAATAATAGTTGAGTTTGTAATTTCACCAACAATGGTGGAATCTTTTAAATTTCTTAAAACAACGGACTAACAAGAACTGCAAAGTTATTATAAGAATTCATTAAATGAAATAACACTATATAAAATTAATAATATTAAGGATTTTAGAAATTAGAATGATGCGATTTCATGATATGGAAACTATTGGAAAAAGAAATGACAGCGTTAGTTTCGCAATACTTAAATAACTTTATCAAGAATTATAAAAAAAGGCTAATTTATTACTGTAGATAAGCAACATAATCCTTGGTGTGGTCATGCATAACATGTAAATTAAATATGTAACCAAAAAGATGGATAATTTTAAAGATAAGAGATAGACACATTTACAGACATTCTTATAAGACATGCGTGTATCTAACCAATTATGCTATGGCCTATTATGTAAATATTCATTGCAACAAACAATATAATCATCCAGAAAGGAGAAAAGGGGTTTAAATTATCAACAGTATCTGGCAACATCTATAAAAATTATGTTATAGTAAAGGAGTTAATTAAAAAGAACACTGATAGCTGCAAATCAATAATTGTTACAACATAATGTTAATTAACAAACTAAATTGTTAATCAAAATGAAAAGACTTTCTTAATTTTAAAATCAATACTTAACTTTTATTGATTTTTATCTCTTAAGAACTATTATTTTTTTGTAAATTTCTTCTAAATTATATATTTGACTAATTTTCAATTTTTTTATTTTACAGTTTATACAAAAAAAAATTGATGGAATGTTTGTCAACTTTGGTCCATTTTGAAGAGTGAAGAGAGTGAATAGATTATCAAATTACCTACCTAAAATAAGCTAAAAAAATGGCAACATTAGCACATCAAGCAGCTGCCTTGTTGGATTTCAACAGAAAGTTGGATATAGGTCTGTTGGATAGCGTCGTTGTAAGTATGTACGCGGGTAATGGTGAGACTCAAAAGATGGCTCAAGAGGTTCTTACGACACTAAAAGAGCACCCGGATGCATGGACGCGCGTTGATACGATTTTAGAGTACTCAACGAATGCCCAAACGAAATACTACGCCCTTCAGATTTTGGAGCAGGTTATAAAGACGCGATGGAAAGTGTTACCTCGGAATCAATGCGAGGGAATTAAAAAGTACATTGTCGCCTTGATAATCAAAACGAGTTCGGATCCTTTATCTCTGGAAGCTAATAAAACGTATTTGAGCAAGTTGAACGTGATATTGGTGCAGGTTTTGAAACGGGAGTGGCCCAAGAATTGGGAACAATTTATTCCGGAAATCGTGGGAGCAAGTAAAACGAACGAAGCTCTGTGCCAGAATAATATGTGTATTTTGAAATTGTTGAGCGAAGAGTTGTTTGATTTTTCAACGGGACAAATAACGCAAACGAAAGCGAAGTATTTAAAGGATACAATGTGCGCGGAATTTTCCGCAATTTTCCATTTGTGTCAATTTGTTTTGGAGAACTCTCAAAATCCGCCATTAGTGAACGCGACCTTAGAAACACTATTGCGCTTCCTAAATTGGATCCCGCTTGGTTATATTTTCGAAACAAAACTGATAAATACGTTAATATTTAAATTCCTACCAGTGCCGATGTTTAGAAATGTTACTTTAAATTGTTTAACAGAAATTGCGGGGGTAACGGTAAATAATTATAATGACGCTTTTGTTACTTTATTTACACAAACGATGACCCAATTGGAAACAATGTTACCCTTAAATACGGATATTAGAAATGCGTATCAACGTGGACAAGATCAGGAACAGAATTTTATACAAAATTTGGCATTGTTTCTTTGCACGTTTCTTAAAGAACACGGCAGTTTAGCCGAAACAAACACTCCCGTTTTAAGAAATGCCTTGCATTATTTAGTATTAATCTCCGCTGTTGATGAGGTTGAAATATTTAAAATATGCCTCGAGTATTGGAACAATTTAAGTTCCGAACTCTATCGCGAAGTCCCTTACACTTGTACAACACCATCTTATTATACTACACTTTCCGGAAGACGTTTACTTTATCAAGAAGTTTTAAATCAAGTTAGATATATAATGATATCGCGGATGGCAAAACCGGAAGAAGTACTTGTCGTTGAAAACGATAATGGCGAAGTTGTACGCGAATTTATGAAAGATACCGATTCAATTAATCTTTATAAGAATATGCGAGAAACTTTGGTTTATCTAACTCATTTAGATTACGCGGATACGGAAAGAATAATGACAGAAAAATTACAAAATCAAGTAAACGGTACCGAATGGTCATGGAAAAATTTAAACACCTTATGTTGGGCTATTGGGAGTATCTCTGGGGCGATGCACGAGGAGGATGAAAAACGATTTTTAGTTACCGTTATTAAAGACTTATTGGGTCTTTGTGAGCAGAAACGCGGTAAAGATAACAAAGCGATTATCGCATCGAATATTATGTATGTGGTTGGTCAATATCCCAGATTTCTGCGAGCTCATTGGAAATTTCTTAAAACTGTCGTCAACAAATTATTCGAATTTATGCATGAAACGCACGACGGCGTACAGGACATGGCCTGCGACACTTTCATTAAAATCGCCCTTAAATGTCGTAGACATTTTGTTACTACACAAGTCGGTGAAAATTGTCCGTTTATTGAAGATATTTTATCTACAATGTCTACAATTATCTGCGATTTACAACAACAACAGATACACACGTTTTATGAAGCTGTTGGTTATATGATTTCAGTACAAGTTGATAATGCTACACAAGAGATGCTTATTGAAAAGTATATGGCTTTACCAAATCAGGTAAATTTTGATTTTCCTAATTTTTTGAATCATTTTCATATCGTTTTTATAGGTGTGGGACGAAATGATTGCAGAAGCAAGTCAAAACGTAAACTGTTTAAAAGATCTTTCAGTAGTAAAACAAATGGCTAACATACTAAAAACGAATGTACGAGCTTGTAAAGCGCTCAATCATGCCTATGTGGTACAATTGGGCAGAATTTACTTAGATATGCTAAATGTTTATAAGGTATAATTGATTTGATAACTTGTTTTAAGTTACAATAATTTAAAATTAATTTTCTTTAAAAGGTTATGTCTGAAAACATCACACAAGCAATAGCAATGAATGGGGAATCTGTAACAAAACAACCACTAATCAAAGCGATGAGGGTGGTGAAAAAGGAAACGTTAAAACTAATCTCGGATTGGATACATCGATCGGACGATTATGGAATGGTGCTAGATAACTTTATACCTCCCCTATTGGATGCCGTTTTAATTGATTATCAAAGGACAATGGTGCCGGCTGCTCGTGAGCCAGAAGTACTGTCTGCAATGGCAACGATAGTTAATAAATTAGAAAATAGAATAACATCAGAGGTAAATACTTTAAATATTATTATTTAGTATGTTTATTAAATATACAGCAATAATTAAGGGGTGATTAAGCTCTTCAATTTTTTACTAATTCAATGAACAATATTTTATTTCATATTTTAGGCACACTCAATAACTTATACTTTTTCCACCAAGGATTCAATAACTCTTAGAAACAGTTCCGCAGGGTTTCCTAATTAACTTTTGATAATTGTTTTTGATTTAACAATTGTTCATAAAAATTTTATGATAAATTTTATAATCATTTGTTTATAACTGGATGACCGTTTTTGTAACTCTGAGATAATCCTCTAAATTCTGTTCGCCATTCAAAATTTCAGATTCATTAATGCCTCATAAATTGGCTTGAAAGTGTGGTTTATTGGAGATGTGTCTTATGTTGTTAATTTACCAAAGTTTTAGTTGCCAACGCTATGCTGTTAAATTTTATTCGTCGGTATTTTTATTTACAGTTGAACATGTTATTATTAATTTTTCTATTGAGTCGATATTTCGGTAAATAATAAGCTAATGCTGTATATCTCGGTAACTCGGCGATGAGTTTACAATTTATAGCATTTAAATTCCTATGTATTACAATTTCATATACAGGTGTCCCGTATCTTCCACATCAGAGCATTATACGATTTTTCTAAGGGTGCGTTTACGTTGGAGCTGCGATAAACGATACTAGCAAAACAACGAAATTGTTGTCATAGTTTTATATACAGTTGTTTATATTGGGGCGACGCGTTGGCACACGCTTGACAGCCGACTAACGATAAGAGCGACGCTAATTGTATTCCTTATTTTCTTTCCTATTATCAGGTATGGTCGGCATGGATGTCGACTGTTTAATTAGTGAAATTTTTGTTAGATCTCCCTTGTGGGACCAAAAAGATCAAAATCACCACAACAGATTTGTTCTGACAAATCATTTTCAATTCATTTTGCGCAGCTCTTATCGCTGCTCTCATTGTTGCTCTTATCGTTTATCGCAACTCTCGTTCCAATATAAGCACCTGCATCAAGGACAGTAGAATCTAACAGGACTGCTACATGCATTATATTTCTGTAGCCCACTACAGGTTGGTTGCCCGCACTCTATGTCACACTATTTGCCACGCCCTGTTAACTGTCATTGAGTACTATGCGTTTGCTGTGTGTTTTTAGAGATTTAGAGGTTACATGATAGACATTAATACGTCTAAAAAAATAAAACTTCAAAAATAATATGAATCGTTCTACGATATAACCTCTAAAAATACACAGCAAACGCATAGAGCTGGGCGTGGAAAATGGTATGACGTAGTTTGCGGGCACGTTGTCACAACAATGAATGTAGCAGTTCTGTTAGATTCTACTGTCCTTGCACCTGCATATAAAACTATGACAACAATTTCGTTGTTTTATTATCGTTTATCGCAGCTCCAACGTAAACACACCCTAATAAATTTTTTTCGTAATGTTTACAATAACCGCACGGGAACTGTTTAAAAATATCCAATAGCGGATTCACGATACGGGACACCTGTATAGTTTGCATATATCGCCTGAAACAACGCGGGAATCTCTTGAAGTTAAAGAATTATACATACTTTGTGTCAATTTTTTGGATTTGTGTTTTGATTACATACATTTAAGTACTACTTTTCTGCCACACTTCTGCCACGCGTAAGCTTGAACATGCCATAATGAACTTTCATTTGGTTCATTTTTATGTAAAACGAACCCTTTTTGAGATAATCGCTTGTCTCACGTTAAATGGACCATCCTGTATAATGTCTGTTGTGTGTCTCATATCTATTATTATGTGGTCAATTTGATTTTGTCATATACTTTGGTGTCTTTATGAGTATCTTTTCTTTGGAAACAAGTCGAACTAAGCAGATAGAATGGGCCGTTGTACATAAATATTGATGAGGCAAAAGAATTATTATTACTTGTTAATATGAGATCGGTTATTTTAAACAATTTTCGAAAAATAATAGTGCAAAAAACAAAATTAATAAAAAAGTATGACATTTATCATTAAGAAAAAAAATTAATAATATATGTGTTATTAATTTTTTGTTGCAAAATAATTTACTGAAACTAATATAGTTTATACCTCGTGAGGTATTTTACTCAACTTTTTCAGATCAAATTTTTAGCATATAAAAGGGGTGCAACGTCCGGATTTAATTTTAGAAGTGCCATTAACCAAGTGTTATCTAATTTAGTCTTGCTATTATATTCTTCTTTTGTACGATCCTAATAATTAACTACATACATATAGAAAGGTAAGACATATCATGCCTTTAAATTCTAATTGATTAAGAACTGAATAATTTTGAAGCAGCATTTATTTGATTTTAGTTAAGTATTTAAATCTAATATTAAGATATTTATTATATTAAATATGTCGAATTTCTAAAGAAGGCTAAATTTATCAGCCTTATTCCTTTGTCATTGCTCTTTTGGTACAAGCCGTACTTTCCTGAGGTTGCTCTATCTTTGCATTCAAACTGTCTATTATGATTTTATATCACGCTTTGGGCATTGTTTGTGTGTTCATTCTATCTTCTCATAAAACGTGTCTGTTTTCAGTTCGTCTTTTGAATTGAATTTAGAATTGATTATATTGTAGATGAAAAACCTTCCCTTTATTCGTAGTTTGCAGAGTTTAATGTTTATTGGTATTCTTAACTTCTGTGCTGCTCGCTCTCTATGGCATCTATAGAAAACTCCTTTTATAGTATGGTTCACCTAATCTATAAAATATTCTAGAGTTTTAAGGGTTTATCTGCATGAGTTTATTGTCCTTTTTCGACACTCTTCTGTAGGGGTAACCATACCTTAGTCGATAAATTCCAGTTTTTATTACATACATTCTAGTAAACGCACTGCATTGCTTTGGGTACTTGATAAGGACGTGGAGTTATTTGTTGGCACGTGTACTTCTCAGTGTTTTAGTAGACATCGCCATTGACACCCTGGTCTGCCTCAATAACCCATTTACCAACCATTTGACCTACAATTGGAAGCTTGGTAACAGATAGCATTAAGTGAAATTAATCCTCAGTGTGGCAGTATTATTGCAATATTACGTTAAAATATTAACTTAAAATTCAAGCTAAACTGCATTTTACAGAAAAAGATAAAAAAGTTCAAAGTTCATATTTGAGTACTCTGTAACGTGTTGAGAGATTTTTTGGAGAACTAATTTATGGATGGCTTTTATAAACTCTTAATAAGTCTTATACAAAGCTTGTTTATTTACAGTGTAGTGTTCTACCTTCAAGCTGATTACAAGAAAAGAGTAGATGCATTTATTTGTATTGACGTCTCATTTAAATCATGGCATACTGATCAATAGATGTCTTATTTATTTGTGGTTTGCTTCATTTGGTTTCCAACCATAGCCTAATTATAACATAAAAATAAAAAAGACACTGCAGAGATGTATCTAACAAGTTTGCTAGTTATTTGCAGTTCTCAAGCATTGAGGTGGAAGGAAATTTCTGGAGGAAATTCTCAGTTAATTAATAAAAATAAAGGGGAAGATATGTTTAAAATTTAGCAATTTATTAATAATAATATAAAAGAATCAGGTCTGAATTTTAGCTGTATATTTATTAAACACGATGTGTATTGAAATCTGTGATAATTAAGATTAGATTCTTCAGTAGATACAATGGGGATTAAAATGACAACGCAACATCCAGTAAGTGCAAACTTTTTGGAAATATTGACAACATTATAGTGTCAGGTATGAAAATCTAGTCAGTATTTTCTTTGAGTTTGCATAAATTGATCTTTACTCATCATGCGCAATCAACATCATTTTAATCTCTAATGGTTAGTTAATAACCTAGTAATCAAATAAAAAAAAATGATTGGAAACAAATAAGTTATGATTTTTTAAATCTTTCGTATTTTTTAATAATCCACACTATGTTGGTAATTTTTTTAATTAATTTGAATAATAATTTGTTTAGGTTCCGAAAATATTTGATGCAGTTTTTGAATGTACTCTAGAAATGATAAACAAAGATTTCGAAGAGTACCCTGAACACAGAACGAATTTTTTCTTACTCCTCCAAGCGGTAAACAACCATTGCTTCCCAGCCTTTCTCAGCATACCTCCCGCACAATTTAAACTGGTCTTAGACAGTATAATTTGGGCGTTTAAACACACCATGCGTAACGTCGCCGATACCGGTTTACAAATTTTATTCCGACTATTACAAAACATTGAAGAACAAGCGCCTATTGACGAACATGCGGTTTCTAGCTTTTATCAAACGTATCTCACGGATATCCTTCAGCACGTATTTTCTGTTGTGACGGATACTTCGCATACACCTGGATTAGCTATGCACGCGACAATTTTATCATACATTTTCTCATTGGTCGAGGCGAATAGGATAAACTGCCAGCTAGGACCGCCTGGAACGGATAATGTTCTATATATACAAGAGTTTACAGCATCTTTGTTAAAGGGAGCTTTTCCGCATTTAACAGTTAATCAAATTAAGATTACTGTACAAGGGATGTTTAATTTGAATCAGGATATTCCGGCGTTTAAGGAACATTTACGGGACTTTTTGGTGCAAATTAGAGTATGTTTTTAATATAATACTTTTTTTTTGTTTTTCTATATTTAATTGTTTTTTTTTAGGAATACACTGGTGAAGATGATTCAGATCTATTTTTGGACGAACGTGAAAAAGCTTTACAAAAAGCTCAAGAGCAAAAGCGAAAAGTGCAACTTTCAGTGCCCGGAATACTAAATCCGCACGAAGTTCCCGAAGAAATGCAGGATTAGCCGCTTAGTTAGCTTTGTTACATTAGCCAGGAGAGTAAAACTGAATTCTGACCTAGACGATAATATGATATTTTTGTATTCTTACCTTACTTGGAATATAATCATCCGATAATCCTAATACACAATGCAGTTCCGGTGCAAACTAAAATTTCGTGCAAACAGAATTATTAATTCAAAAAAAATAAATAAATGAGTAGAAGAGTTCGAATTAGGTTGTTGTGGCACTTTCGGGGTAATAAGAGTTATGTTGTTTATTCATTTTTAAAATTTTTTTTGAAGTTCGTTTAAAATAAAATTGGAATTGCTGGACTGCGTTGTTTCACGCGTAAAACACACACACCTTTTTTTATCCCCCCCGTTTGATGTAATAAGAGTCCTAACGTTTTAAAAAAGTGTTACAAATAAACAAAAAAAATTAAATAAAGGTGAAAAACTAACGTTATTTTTTAAATATTTCTATTTCCTATGTGTTTTTCAATTTTCCTAAAGAATTATTATAATAATTTAATGTTAAAAACAAGGTAAGAGTGAGCTTGATTTGTTTTTCTAGTTTTTTTTCTTAGCTGTAAATAAGGCTGTATCACTTTTAACGAAGATTAATAAAAAAATATGAGAGAAACCAGTGAAAATTGTAGAGAAAGACTCAATCCAAAAAGAAAACTAGTTCGTAAAATACATATTATTATACGTTTGTACAAAATCATTGAAAAAAAGAATTATTAAAAATTAAAATTAATGCTTTGCTACCCGTTTGTAATAATACAAAAAAAATCTAATTAAAAAACTTAAGAGGTCTATAGTGTGTATACAAGTTGTTGTTAAAAGAGGAATAAAAACAACTTATAATAACAGTTGTATACTATTTTTTTTTAATAAGAATGTTTAGATTTACAATTTATTTAGTTTTTGAATTAAGTTTGTTCTAACTTAACACTTTAATTTTCATTTTATAAGTAGTTGTTTTGAACGCCTTTAATTATGTTTCATTAATAAATGTGTCGGAGAAAATGTTATGCGCAAAGAAAAATTGTGTGAATTTTTTAATAATAATTAATCTTTCCTACCTTTTCTTTTTTGTTGTGTCGTTGAAGAAATGATGATAGTCTCTATATCTGTACGCGTAGCGAAATGATGAAGTTAGAACAATTTTAATATATTTGTGATTATTTCATTAATAAAATTACAAAAAAAAACATGAATTGTTCCTTTTTTTATACAGAAGTCACAATTAAAATTCTTTAAAAAGATATACAGCGTGTCCCGTATCTTCCGCATCAGAGCATTATACGGTTGTAGGATACATTATTCTGAAGCGATCTTTCTAATAAAATTTTTTCGAAATGTTTATAATAACCGCACGGGAACTGTGTAAAGGAACTGTTTTGCGTCCAATCAGCAGATCGCAAATCAGACTCAGGTAATCGGTGCCACCCTCGGCCGGTCCGCTACGCCGATGATAACTCGTTTCCCACGTGTACTCACCAATAGATTCGTCATGGAAAGAGAAATAAACTTTTTCGATGAATCAAAGTCGTCAGTTATTGGTCGTCGTTAAACAGTTCCCGTGCGGTTATTATAAACATTTCGAAAAAATTTTATTAGAAAGATCGCTTCAGAATAATGTATTCTACAACCGTATAATGCTCTGATGCGGAAGATACGGGACACGCTGTATAAATGTTATAAATATTAATACTTGGTATACAAGACTAAGTTCAGAAGAAATGTTTATTAATCATTTTGTTTTGATAATTTATCATGAAGCTTAGTTTTGTGATATTCTACGTCTTGTTGCGTGACCCTTAGATGGTGGAACTTATTTCTTGTAAGTTTTGAGTATCGATTAAGCTATGAGGAATAATCACAGTTTATAATTTTTAATGAATTTCTTATTTTGTAGGTCACACAATACATTGATGCAACGATTTTGGAGTTTAAAAGTTTGATACCGAAATTCTTCACGATGGTAATTATAAAATAAGTCCGCCAAATTTAATTATTTTAAATGTAGAATAGTTAAATCGACGAATATCGAATATCCAGCTCAACAATCTCTTAATTTACGAAAAACGGTACCCAAGATTACAAAGATTGTAGCCCAGGATGGGAACACATTGAAAAGCCCACATAAAATAAATAATAATAATTTAATAAATAAAATTAATAAATAAAATAACTTAAGCTAAGCATAACAAGCTCAAATTTTAAAAGTTTATTCTGGAAACCGACTACTGAAAGTGATGTTATTGACATTATTGGGCCTTTAAAGAACAATTCTGCTAAAGATGTAAGTACTTATCAGTACTATAATAAAAAAAATTAAAAGATATCCCTACTCCATTATCAATTTTGATAAATGACTGCTTAGCGCAGGGATGTTTTCCACATGTTCTACAAAAATCCGTTGTTATTCCTATACATTAAACATGTTGTGTCAAGGAGCTAACAAATTATAGGACCATCATTCTGACATAAGGTGACCATTTTAAAAAAAATTTAAACCAGGATCTTGATAAAAAAAACTTGAGGCGCATTCACCATTTTGTAGGTTTTGTCATAACTGGTTAAAATAAAAAATGGGTTATAATATAAATGTTTTAATAAATGTAAAAGATGTGCGCTCGTTTAGTAAAACTCATAGCACTAAATTTTGTGTACTGGTTTCACTTCGCAATTAACCAGGACTAATTACTAAAAAGCCAGTACTGGTAAAACCAATGACAAAAAAGATGATGAAAAAGAAAAAAGAAGAGTTTAGTCTAAAATATAGAAAAATATACTGGTTGCTTGGAAGGAACTCCAAGTTACTCATCCACAATAAACTGCTCCTTCATAAGCACGTACTAAAGCCAGTATGGTTATACAGCTTACTACTTCGGGGTTGTGCTAGTAAAAGTAATATTCAAACTATTCAACGGAAACAAAACAAAGCAGTGAGAGACATGGTCGATGCACTTTGCTACTTCCGCAACTGTGATCTCCACAAGGACCTTGAAATAGAGACAGTTAATCAAATATTTCAGATTTTTGAAGAATTATAAATGAAACAGAAACAGTAATAAGATGTGCGAAATAAGGGGAGTTTCACCCAATCGGAAAAGATGGTGCTGGTGTTTGTTCCAGAAAGGACGTCGCTCCTTTATTTCTTTATGTAAGTAAAATGAAGGCGCGACGTCTTGTCTGGAAGACACTGTCTTTTTCGATGGCAAAATGGACAAAGTTGCCCGCACCCTCAAAAATCGGGATAAAATAACTCAATGGCAAACAATTGTAACAGCACTAACTAAAAACTTCTATTATATGTATGTATTTTACCCCATATCTATTATACAGGGTGAGTTATTAGTATCCCGGTGGTCGATAGTTACTAAACTCTTTGAATAACAAAAAAATATTTTATAGAAAAGTTGTTTGACACATCACTTTCTATTACGTAAAATTATTTTCACTTATACAAGCTGTTCCATTTAAGCATAAAATTGCGTCGTTGAGAGTACGTAAATTTATTTAAATGGAACACTCTGTATATTTTATCATATTATGAACACAACTAAATTTGTTTATACAACCTTATATGTTACTATTTCACAGCGTTCATAGTTCTTGAAATATTTAATTGTTCTTCCAAAATGTGCCCAGTACAGGATCTTTTTAAAAACGATGTAAAAACGAATTACACATTATTCTTTTTTTTCTCATTTTTTTCTTTCTCAAACGGTTTTGCAAGTATCGTCTGCTGAGATACTAATAACTCACCTTGTATAAGCAATATAAATATTAATACTTGGTATACAAGACTAAGTTCAGACAGTAACAGTCTGAAAAGTAATATTCAAATCATTCAACGACAAGAAAACAAAGCATTGAGAGACATGGTCGATGCACTTTGTTACTTCCGTAACTGTGGTCTCCATAAGGACCTTGAAATAGAAACAGTTAATCAAATAATTCTAATATTTTGGGTGAGGGGAGTTCCACCCAATCGGAAAAGATGGTGCTGGTGTTTGTTCCAGACAGGACGTCGCGCCTTAATTTTTTTATGTAAGTAAAATGAAGGCCCGACGTCCTGTCTGGAACACACTGTCTTTTCCGATGGTAAAGTGGACAAAGTTGCCCGCACCCTCAAAAATCGGGATAAAATAACTCGCGATAAAAAGAAAACCGCGGAGCCGAACATTTTTAAATTTACATATGTTACTTAGAAATGTTCAGTAATTAGAAGTATTGATCAAATTAACAATAATGGCAAACAATTGGACCGCGTTATATAATAAACGACATTTTATCGTTTTTAGAGATTTTCATGCTGTCTGGTAGGTAAAGGTGTAACTTATGTTAGAAAAAATGCAGAATACCGAAAGACCTAAAATACTATTTATAGTTTCATACTATTTCAAGTCCGATTTGCATCATACGTCTAAGAACCGACTTAGATACACTGAAATTCTACAGTAGAAAATATAGATGAACCTACAATTTCGGGCCAGTGTCGCTTTCTAGATGTTAGTATAAAATTAAAAGTTTATGTCTTTTATTTTATATAGAATTTAAGTCTAACTAGTTTCGGGTTTAGTCGTGAAAAAAACTTTCAGTTGTGAATGTCAACTTTAATTTTATTATTATATTCGTAATCTTCATAAAATAACCTTTAAAGTGAGTCCAAACATGACGCATTTCTCTTAAAAAAATAAAAAGTTCGAATTTTCAACTTTTAATTTTGACATATTTGTCAACTTTATAAAAAATCCTTTAAAATGAGTCCAAACTCGACATATATAACTTTAATATTAATCAAAATGCAATCACTTCCGGTTTGAAACGTCAACGTCAATTTTGACATATTTGTCATCTTCTATAAAAAACTTTTAAAATGAGTCCAAAGATGACGCACTTATCTCAAAAAACAAAAAAGTTAGAATAAAAAAGCATTAAACCCGAAGTTAGCAACAGTGAAGATAGCAATTTAATTTTTAAATATTAATACCAACCTTAATTTTTGCTTTTTTTTATTATATTTTTGTTTTCTGACAAATATTAAGATATTTTATAAAAATTAAGAATATGTCAAAATGACATTGACATTTCAAACCGGAAGTTGGTTATATCTCGAGTAATATTGAAATTAAACGTATCATGTTTGGACTCATTTTAAAGGATTTTTCACGACGATTAGAAATATGTCAAAATTGACGTTGACATTCTTAACCGGAAGTTGACCATAACTTCATTAATATTGAAGATAAATATGTCGTGTTTGTACTCATTTTAAAGGATTTTTAATGAAGATTACAAATATGTCAAAATTGAGGTTGACATTTTAAACCTGAAGTTAGTTATCATATAATAGAAGTTTTATAACTGAAGTTAATCTAGTGTTATTTACTTTTCAGCACTTTTTTTTTATTTTTAACGTGTTTTTTTGGGTTAATTCCCATTGATTTAAAAAAAAAGTCAATCTTTCCAAAGTTTATTAATATTTCTTTTGTTAAAAAAGAGTGTGCTTAAATTGTAACTTGTAATTCGTCCTTAATTTCATTTTACAACATCTATAACATCAATAATCTGATTTCGACTTTGATATGTGATCTTTTTTAACAAAAGAAAAAGAAATATTAAGAAACTTGTTTGTAAAATGGATAGGATGAGGGATGTTAATCTATTTGTAGAGTCTCTGTAGGTGGTCAAGAGCCGAAACTAGCTAGACTTAAATTCTATATAAAATAGAAACCAGTTGAAAAGTACAAAATCAAACTCTAGATCATTTTCTTCAAAAATTTTTACACGGAACATCATTTTGACTCTATTATTTGTGATTAAATTTATGTTTTTAAAATGTTTTTCTCAACATTGTTTATTTGTCGCTTAGTCAAGTAAAACTAAAATCATAAACTTGTATTATATTTATACTAATTAAACATCGTTTGTTATCTTTTCATTTTTATTAACAAACAAAAAAATTTATTACACCGATACATGGTGAAAACACGTAATTTTTTTAATATAACAACTAACAATAAAAAGCGGCGACTCTAAATATAGACACAACGATAAAATAAATTTTATTTTATTTTTAATTCTATAAGTTTTTTTTTTATTCTTTTAACATTAAATTAGTGTACATTTAACAGTATATAATATAGTAACGTCACAGTCATGATTATTTCATTATTTAGTTTTTCTTTTCCTTAGAATGTTAAGGAACAATCAGAAAGAATCGGAAAATTAAGAGATATGCTTAAAAACATTTTATAAACGTACAAACGAGCGAAAAAGTAATTTATTTAAAAGATTAAAAATTGATCGATTAAATTTTTAAAATTAATGATCGATATTTTATTTTTAAATTATTGTTACTCGGATTAGTCTATCTAGTAATACCTACCCCTTCTTGAGGCACTATACAATGATTTTTTTTAATTTTTAAGTCTATTTCTGATCATATTTTTAAAGCGAATCACAAACAGACTTTTTTTTTACTTGTTATTATCAACAATTTTTTTTTTTAGATTCCTGCTCGGGTATAATTTAAAATAAATCAGTTTCAGACAGAAATATATTAATTTTTTTTGTTAAAGTCGAAACATCGAGGTTATATTTAAATACGAAAATCTCAAATTGTTTTCGTTATTAATGATATTTAATTATTACTTCGATATTCTATAATAATTCACTGCGAAAGTATTTAATTTATTTTTTTTTTATCTAAAACCAATCTTGATTCATTTTTACTTTTTCTTTAGTATTTACAAAATACATGTTGAGCATAGATCATTTTTTTTTTTGAAGATATGTTATCAAATCATTTGATTTTTTTTTCAATTTTTTCTTAATCTCGTAAATATCAATATATATTGTATAATATGTATATATCTTATATAAATAAATTGTGATGTATATCGAGCGGTAAATGATATGTATATCATCACTTTCACAAGGGTACAAGTGGATATGTTTTTTTTTTTTTAATTTTTATCTCCAAATCAATTTTTTTTAAACAAACAAAAATAAAATATAAAAGCAATTTTTTGATATCATCTTTTGTGCTTACAGGAACAGTTTTACATAAAAAGAAATAAAAATAAAAACGAAAATTTCTTAATAACTAATGATTATGTCAATCGCTTCTTCATTTTAATTCATTTTTATATAATTTCTTTAGATTTTATTTTATTTCATTTCTTTCCATTTTCTATTATTTTTCTTTTTATACAGTAACTTTATCTTAAAGTTACCAACATCGTTTTAGTTTTTTATCCAAGATAACAATTTCCATTAAAAAAGCTTCTCTACCAAACATTACATTTATTAGTTGGATTCATGGGAGAACCTAATGGGCAATTATATGCTCTGGCGAAATCCCAAGAATTCGATAACGGTCCTAAAACCCGAATCGGACCCGGAGAATGCACGCTTGAACGGATTTTCGTTAGGGCGTCTTCCGGACGCATTGAACCACACCAAATTTGGGCATAGTTTAAAAAAAATAATTGATCGTGAGTTAAATTTAATCCTGGTAAATCCGGTTCTTTACCATGCTTCGTTACCCATTTCTTATAAGCCTAAAAAATGATTCGAATTAATGGTGGAATTGCGATTTTTTCGAATTTACTCTAAATGATTGTTTTAATCCTCCATTATCCGCGATATTTTCTCCTTGGGTCATTCTCCCGTTCACGTACAATCCAACCTCATCAATTTTGTACCTTGAGTATTGATCGATTATGCATTGCGCTCTCTCTCTGAAAGCGCGAATTGTCGCGTTGTTCCACCATTGCATCATATTTCCATCCTTATCAAATTGTCTTCCTTTAAAAAATTAAAACAAAAAATTATGGCAAAAGAAATTATTAAAATTACTCATTGATTGATAAAGTTATTTTAAGAAAGGAAATTATACCTTTATCATCGAATCCATGTGTTATTTCGTGACCAATTACAACTCCAATTCCACCATAATTTAATGATTTTGGAAAATGTTGACTGTAAAATAAAGGTTGGAGAATTCCAGCAGGAAAAACTAAAAAGTAATTAAAAATTTAGGTACTTTAAATCACATCATCACAGTTTATTAGACTTTAAAGACTGGAATGGGAAAAAGGGCAGGACATGTTCGTAGAATAGAAGAAGAGGATCAGATCGAGGCAGTAGATAAAGAAGACCACGGCTCAATTTGGGCAGCAGTACCGTAGGAAAGAATTCCAATGTGACTCCACTTTATCAAATCAAACTTTTCGTACTGCCAGAAAAACTAATACATTTGGCAAATTTATATCATGTGGGAGTCTTTTCTGTTACTGGTATGGGTCTCGTATAGTCCCAATAAGATCAGCTTAATAAATACAACAAATCAAAAGTTCCCCTAATCAATCTTCCATATTTCGTGATGGTCGACTTACTTTTATATAGTTTAGACTTACCTCTTTGAAGTCGTTCTGGTAACAAATACTAAATCTTGGTTCCAAAAAGTCACTGGGACATGGCAGGCATATTTTAAACAAGTTGATGGATATTGTGATTTTGTGCCAAAAATGAAATCAAAGAAGTTAAGATGCCAAACGCGTGGGATTATTACAACTGTTATGGAATTATAAGAGAAAGAAGAAAGTTTGTCTCTTAACATGTAGACTTTAACAAGGACTTTTCTGCCGTAGGTACTACATGTTATAAAGTTGTGCACCACGGAGAAATTCATCACCAATTTGTGCAAAACAACAATTGTAAAGTCTTTATGTTTTTATATAAATGTTCGAAAGATCGATCAACGCAAAGAAAAGCAGATCTGGTTTTTATGGCAGTTGGAACAAAATTTCCATAAATGCCGAAAGACACATCAAAAGTTCTTAGACATGATGCTATTGATCATTTCTGGACTCAATAGGTACCGATAAGAGAAGAATGATAAAGGATAAGGGAAAAGAATCACGACGAGGTTGGCGAAAACTAGCAGAAGTATGTGCGAGGAAAAGGAAGGGACTAAAAGAAAAAAGGTGACAAGACGAAATGCAGTATAGAAGAGGGAAATAAAGAAGGAAGAAACGGAGTAGTAGGAGAGATAATGGAAGGGAAGACAGGGAGAAGGAAGATCAAAGGATGATTGACCTGGCGAAAAGGAGAGAATTGGAATGAATTAATGAAATCAATGCCAAATGAGAAATGGAGACAAAATCAATGGGAGGTGATTCGCATGGGAAGAGCTGAAAGCCATTCTGGCAACAACCGCGAAGAGCCTGGCACATAAACAAGGTTTTGGATATATTTCGAGGATGCTATAGTGAAAGCGACCATGAAATTAGCTAACTAGAATGAAAAGAAAGTCTGGTGGAAAGGTGGAGATGGGAGGTCAGGGTGAAGTAGTAGACTAAAATGTTAACAAATGTATTATTGGTCAATGTTTACTTTGGCCAATAATTTTGATGGGCGAAATCCACATTAATTCGTCTCGTATCCTTAGTAATGCTTGGATTGAACACTTTTTATATTTCCAAAGGATAGTGTTATAATTGTCAATGTTGGAAATAAAAAGTTTTATACCAAATCTCTTTTTACCAAATTTATCATCGAATTGTTTTGATGATTATCAATACTTTCTGTGACAACGCAGAAATAATGTCCTAATATAAGTTTCAGAAGTAATGAAATGAATGGTTAACAAGAAAAACTTCTCTTTATGGCAATAAACGGCAAGAAATCAAAATTCAAAAGCTACGTAATAGACAAATTAGCAGATATGAACGTTATCGAAATTAATCGAAGCACCCACCTCTCCACATCCAGAAAATTTTCCATAATCTTTCAGAATATGATTTCCGATGCCGAAAAAGCCGTCTTAAGCAAAGGTTTCAACTACATCTTAACTTCTAGGACTATTTCGGTCGAAGAAATCATTGCCAACGTCGAATCCAGCTTAACCACAATGGACAAGCAAAAAGTAGGAATTCTGAGAATAGACATCTCTAGGATCTTATGTTTAGCCAAACCACCTAAGCCCAACTTGGTTCCAAGTGAAGTCCAGACCGTGAAAGTGAAGTACCGGCGGACAAAGGCCACGCCATAGTGGTTATGGATTCAGTGGACTATAAGAACAAGATCATGGACTTGCTCAAGAACACAGCTTACTAACCAGAAGCAAGAGACCCTACAATTTACCTGGAAAAAACGACCAAATCGAAAAAACCTAATCCCTCGGGAAAAATCAAGCAGATGTCCCAAACTCTATGGTCTGCCCGAAATCCAGAAGCTCGATGTCCCACTTCGACCCACTGTCAGCGCTTTCAACTCACTGCTACAAAAAACTTGAAAAGTATCCAGCGAAGATCATGCAACTCATAACAGAGCAAGCCGACTCCTACGTACGAAACTTTGAACAGTCTGCCTATAGGAGACGCACTGAAGATGCCAGGTGAGATCTTGACGAAACGTCTGCCTTTTTCCCAACACATACTTCTCCATCCGTGAAGCAATGCGCATTATCATATACAGGCTGGTCCATTTAACGTGAGACAAGCGATTATCTCAAAAAAGGTTCATTTTACATAAAAATGAACCAAATGAAAGTTGTTCTGTACTAAAGGGGATACCATATGACGATAAAATTTTTTGACTTTGACCTTATTTTCAAGGTCATATGAAGGTCACGGTCAATTTTTTAAATTCTCGAACCGTTTTCGAGATAAACGCTTGTCTCACGTTAAACGGACCATTCTGTATATACAGGATGTTTCATGAGGAATGGTACATACGTTAATATGTTATAGATTTGTTCATTTTAAGCAGAAAAGTTCCTAAAAACATGTGCTCTATTTTCAAAGGTAACTGAGATACAGCCAATTAATGCATTAATACACTGTTGGAAATAATTCACGAGCACACTCTATATAATCTGAACGCGTGAAGATAAATCCATAATATTTGCGGAGCACAAAGGTTTACTGTAGACGAGTTTATTCAGGGAGTTTCGAGTTGTTCCGTCGCGGCATTGTTGACTGAGCCGCCTTTCCAAGTGAAACATTCCGTCGCTATGGAGACCGAAGTGGATGGAAAATACCGGTCGTTTTTAGTGTGGTGTGAGGGACCACATTGTTATCGTACTCTGTGCGCAATGGATGGGCGATCGCGTTACTAAGCGAGTTTGAGCTAGGAATGTTTGTGGGTATGCACATTGAGGGTGTATCGTTCTGTGAAATTGCGCGTCGTCTCGAGCGGTCATTATCGGCAGTGCAATGGGCATGGCGAGAATGGTCTGAGGTAGGACATAGGTACCTTCAGCCGCGGTCGGGACGGCCCTGCGCGTCCCCAGCATACGAGGATCGCGCTCTTGTGCTCAGCGTTTTAGCGTCGTGTGTGTCCTCCTCAAAGCAACTTGGAGCTGTTTGTCCACTGGCAGGGGAAGGCGCACTTACTACGCGAACTGTACGGCGGCGTTTGGTAGATAATGGACTGGCGCGCGCGTCGTGCGATACAGCGGATTCCAGTAAAACCCGAGCACCGCAGCATACGTCACGAGTGGGTCGACGCTAGGCATTAGTAGGTAGCCGAGTAGAGGGACATTTTGGAGGCGAGTTGAGGTGGCATGGTTGGCCATCCGTCTCGCTACAATAAAGAGACTTATAGACTCCATGCCACGTCGTGTAGTGATGGTACGCGAAGCTCACGGGGGATACTCTCGCTATTGATGTTTCTCCTCCCAGCAGAGTTATGCCGCTCTCCATGTGAGAATAAGTTACACTACTTTAGTACTACTTCCATACTAAATTTTATTGCGCTAGACACACGCATTCAGATTATACAGGGTGTGCTCGTGAATTATTTCCAACAGTGTAATTCGGACTTTAAAGGAAGGGTTCGAATATCCCACCGCCTAACTCGATACACTTGGCTGATCTCTTGAAGAAATCACGCACTGCGCTGCGTAATTTATCCTGATGTTTAACTTGATAAACATAGCTTTTCAGCCATCCCCACATTCCGTAATCTAACGGATTAAGGTCCAGTGACCGAGCTAGCCAACTGATAGGACCCCCACGACCAATCCACCGTTCCGCAAAGGTTTGGTTCATGTATTGCGTCACTTGACGGCCGTAGTAAGCAGGGGCCTCATCATGCTGGAAGAACATATTTGCTCTGGTAGCCAAAGGAATATCTTCTAACAGTATTGAAAGCTCATTGCGCAAAAACTCTAAATATCTGTCCGCTGTTAGACGCTCGGGTAGTACGAAACGCCCAATTAAGTTATTGTCAATCATTCCACAATATACATTCACAGAGAATTTTACCTGAAAATTTGTTTCAACACTGGCATGCGGATTATCCTCAGACCAACGGTGATCATTTCGACTGTTATTGATTCCATTACGGGTGAAAGTGGCTTTATCGGTAAAAAGTATCACAGGAACCAAGCGGCGGTTAGATATTACCCATTCACAAAATTCTAATATTCTGGCAAAGTCTGTTGGTTCAAGGTGTTGTACTGGTTGAACATGGAATGGATACAAGCGGAGCCTAGGATATTCCAGGCCGTATTGTAATGGAGGGGGTTCGGGGTACGATGGCAAGGACGGAATACATAGCTCAACAGTTAAAACAGAACTGAGCGATACCCCGAGAGCCCTGAGATGCAGTACGGCCTGAAATATCGTAAGCTCCGAAACAAACCAAGAGTACGGAATATTCTCCATACTTTTACATGAAGAACACCAAGACGAGCAGAAGGTCTTCTTGTACTGGTAGATGGACTGCGTCCTACCGACTGAAGAATTTGTTCAATTTCATTCAGAGTTTGCACAACTGCATATTGAGAATGAATACTTATACTTGGAACAGAACGGTTTCATGCAATCTGTTGAATGTTCGAGTAAATGCTCGGTTAGGAAACCGTCTCCTACAGTCACGACGAGCAGCACGTGCATTTCTATTGCAGAAACCGTAACAAAACACCATATCAGCATATTTTGCATGAGTCAATATATGTGGCATTATCCACAACTTAGTCGACACTTCAACCAAATAATGTTAAATGTC